ATCGAGATTCAACAACGAGTTTAGAAGAGACATGGTGAAGTAAAGATAGAGTTTTATGGGGAAAAGGAACAAATAGCAGACTGTTTTATCAAAGCTCTTCAGTTTGGAAATTTCAACATAATGAAGCATCGTTTGAAGGTCTATCCATGTCTAACTTAAGGGGGAATGTTAAAATTAAGTTAGACATTCAACCGCTAAGTTAGTTATCTGACAGTTAAAGTTAGTTACGTTGGTGATCAGGTGTGTCTATTAGTGAAAGGTTGTGTCTTTTGGCCTTAAAGGTACGACCCTTTGGCTGTGTATATATATGTTGGATAATACCCACCGTACAATTGAGTTGTTGTGTTAATAAAAAATTGACTGTCCAAACTCCCCTTTTATGCATGTGCATATCCTGCAAGAAAGTTTCTGCAGATTATTTTTGATGATTTCAAACTTCCTACGTATATTAGATGTTCTTCTGTTTGACTCCAACAAGATTTAGACACAACATGGATGATGATAAAAATGAAGGGAAAGACGATGCCCCCCAAACTGGAGAGGTTCTCAGCAAAGGCAAGTGAAAAGCTTCATTTATGTGACTGAGGATGATAAAAATGCCCAAATACAGTTGGGTCCTAGGATAAGCATCAAAGAGCATCTTGAGAAGGATTAGGTTCTTAGTTTTCTGTCCCAAAAAAATAGTAGTGTTTTGATTTTATGTTGTTTTTTATGCATTAATTGATTATATATGTTGTCGGAAGGAGCAACGGCTTCGAAGTGTTGATGTCAATGTGGTTCTAGGTATTTGTATATGTCATATTCTTTGATTTTTATGGCATATGCTATCGCTACAGCATTCAACCATTGATACAGTGTTTAATGTATGTCATATTCTCTTCTTGCCATTCTTCCCAGTTTATAGCTAATTCATTTATATTATTACCGGGTTTGTTTAGTTTTGGTTTTTGGCCGTTAGATATAACTATGTAAAGTGTATTACTATATAAAGACTAAGTGTATTAAATTTACCGCTCCCACCACATTGCACCGATATGTAACTAGTATTTATTATGAACTAAATTACAAGGAAGACACAAATCTTGTAATAAAACATTCAAGAAATTCATTTCAGATGCTCATCTTCATGTTAAATTTTTTTATTAATTGTCAAATACATGTCTCTAGTAGATACTGCCATTCTTTTATTATGGAACAATACATCCTCCATATACAACCAAAAAACCAGGATCAATAAACACTTGCCACAGTGATCAAACACCTAGTTCTTGAGTCCGATCTTGATTTTCTGAACCGTAGGAACATCGGTTTTGAACGACTTCGCAAGCACATTATCATCAATACCAGTAGTGAAAACAGACTTTGGCACCGAAAGCAGGCCAGCATTCGCACTTCCGAATGCAGAAACTGCGATTACTGATTGTATGTGGTTCTTGTTGTACTGAAAATGAACAAGTCCCTTTGGGAACACAAACATGTCACCCTCTTTAAGAGTTTGGTTAAACAACACATTCTTGGTGTCAACAAATCCAACTTCAAGCGTACCCATTATCACCAACAGCAATTCAGCTGCACGAGGATGAGTGTGAGGTGGGTTCACACCAGCTGGTGGGAACTGGAGCACCGCATACGACACGCTTTGACCATTTAGAGCCGGGAACTCAGTCATTGAAGCTTTGATGACTGTGAAGTTTTTCAGGTATGGGTTGTAGATCCCGTTGAGTCCACTGTAGGTGAAGAAACTGGCACCAACAGCGCTCGTATTTGGGGTGATGAAATCGGTCAAGATATCAGGGTCATTAGCTTGGGCTGTTCTTGAAATGGCTAGAATCATGGCTAGTGCCAATAACAGAATAGGACTTGTAGATGAATTAATAGCCATGTCTGAAAATGCTAAACTAACTGTTTATATCCGTTTGAGTTTATACATATAGGATGTAGAAGACTATAATGTCTGTTACTTACGTTTTTAGGTCAAATTTGAGCTTGCTAGAGAACAAGAAAACGGATATACCAGTATATTGTAGGAATTAGGCATTGTTGTTCACGTTGTTCTCAACTTTAATCTAGATAACAGACCAAAAAATATAGCTGACAGCATGCATGTTTGAGTTTTCGATAATTCTAACATACCACGAGTGGCAATAAAGAAGGAAACGACGTAAAAACAACCATACATATGAAAACATATATTGAAAAGGGTCATCATGCTTGGCTGTCCAGCTTCAGCTTTGTCTTAATTAACAAGATAGTGCTATATATGTTCAAGGCTTCCTGTTCTTTTGTCTTTGGTTGTACCTAAAACCATGGATAAAAATGATGACAAAAATCCAAAATTTCTTGACTAGCTAATTACACAAGAAATCTTTGGTAAACCATCATCGGGATGCGATTGTAGCATATATATATATATGCTCGTCTTGAGAACAAGATTAGTTGAATAATAACAATTGATTTATATGGATATATCACACATATATATATTTATACGACACATATATATATACCAGTTGGTTAATAACGGTTACCCGTTTTCTTTGATGGTAAGAAACCCCTTCTCGCTTCTGTTATATATATACTGATTTGGGCGCCAAAAATTCATTCAACTCTCTCAAGAACACAGAAGATTCCTATCAATTGCCAAGAACCATCAATGGTGAGGAATTAAGGGTGGATCTTGAAACAGTATGGATGATGATCAAAACAACAATCTGAACACTTCTACTTCTATCGCACAAGGTACGCTCATTTCATGTTCATAATTGATAAGCCGCAATTCAATTTTGATGTGTTAATCTGTTCAGAAATCAAGTTAAGTCTTACAATTGGTATCAGAGCCAATTAACCCATCGAATTGAATTGAGATGCGATTATGATCTGATCGATTTATATGGAAATTGTTAATTTACGTGTTCACTGAGAAATCTCTATATGATTGATTTACTGTGTAAAATTGTTTCGATTGCCATCTTCCCTGTTTTCGATTCATATGCACAGAACGTATACTCTGATTTAGGGAAACTGTTTTCGATTTATATCGAAATTGTTTACGATTGCCATCTGCATATGTAATTGCATAAATTGCTTGGATTATTCATTGCATATAGTTTCGAAATCAATTACTCCAAAATTCCCGGACACATCGATGCACAAATCTTGAAAATCAAGATTACATAAAGAATCCACATATCACCCAAGTGATTCTGGATTTTGCGATTCATAATACTATCACATTAGTCAAGAATCACAACGAAATCAATGCAAATTAGATAAGAAATTGCAGATTAACAGATACTGTTTTCTTTCACATACTGCCATAGCAGTCTGATTGAAACAGAAACTCGATTACATCAGTATTTCGAATATGATATACTTTCTCAAAAGGGAATCAAATTCGAAATCGATGTTTTTTCATTTGTAATTAAAGTAAACTGATCAATTCACAATTGATCATCCACAACATAGATATGACTGTTTATGGTTCATACAATTGATGAGAAATGTATGTATTTTGTGATTCAGGATCACCAGGCAAAACAGACAGACAACAGTTCCTGTCTCTCACAGCCCACTATCCTATGAGTACAGTCAATTTTGCACCTTTAAATGGTGTAAACTATAAAAAGTGGAAAGAGGACATTGAACTCATGCTAGGCATTTTAGACTATGATCATGTCCTTAAGGAAGATCCACCACCAGTACCCGCGGATAATGCATCTAAAGAAATCAAACTTAAACATCAAGAGTGGCATAAGCATAACAGAATAGCCCTGATATATATAAAGAAATGCATGACTGACGCTGTCAAAGGAGGAATTCCAGAATCAGACCTTGCTAAGGTATACTTTGCCTCAATTGCCGATAAGTATAAAGTTTTTGACAAAGCCGAAACAGGCTACCTCATGAATAAGCTGATCAGAATGAGTTTCAATGGACAAGGGAGTATTTTATTACATTCATTGATGACTTTTCTAGATTCTGCCATGTATTTTTAATGGCTGAAAAATCACAAGCTTTGGAATGTTTCATAAGCTTTAAAACAGAAGTTGAAAGGCAAACTGAGAAAACAATCAAAGTAGTCAGATCAGATAGAGGAGGAGAGTATTTTGGAAAATACTCTGAAAAGGGCCAGCATAAGGGACCTTTTGCCATTTATTTGGAACAAGTTGGCATTAAAGCTGAGTACACAACTCCATATACTCCTACGCAAAATGGAGTATCTGAAAGGAAGAATAGGACCCTGATGGACATGGTTAGGAGTATGTTTGCAAGATCTAGTTTACCAAAGTTTCTCTGGGGAGAAGCATTAAAGATGGCAAACTATATCTGCAATAGAACCCCAACCAAGGCAGTTAATGGCACACCTTTTGAATTATGGAATGGATACAAGCCTAGTCTAAATCACCTTCATGTGTGGGGATGTAAGGCAGAAACTAGGGAGTATCATGTTGAAAAACTAAGTAAGTTAGATTCAAGATTAAGGCAGAAACTAGGGAGTATCATGTTGAAAAACTAAGTAAGTTAGATTCAAGATCACACTCTGCCTTCTTCATTGGATATTCAGAAAAATCCAAAGGTTATAAATTCTATAACCCTGGAAGAGGACAAAGGATMTTTGAAACTAACAAAGTTGTGTTTCATGATGAAATGTTCAATGAAGATGATGATGTGGGAAGTTCTTCCCAAACCTCACATGATGTAGATAATTGGATGACATACCATGAAGAGGAATTACCTTTAATACATGAAAATGAGAATTTGATCTCACAACACATACCCATAGTAAGAAGCAGTACATTAAATGATGCTGATAATGTGACTGAGGACCAACCCTTAGAGTCAACACATGAGCTCTCACATGATCAAGAACATGTACTTGAGAATGAACCTATACTTGAACCCATCCTAGAACAACCAACTACTACAGTATCAAACACTAATACTCTAAGAAGGTCCACAAGAGAAAGAAGGTCTGCAATACCTGATGATTACCATGTTTACCTGACAGAAATGGAATTTGATCTAGGTGATGYTGATGACCYAATTAATWTTAAGGAAGCCATGGAATCACCAAATAAGGATAAATGGATGAAAGCCATGGAGGATGAATTGGCTAGTATGTCAAGCAATAAAGTATGGGATCTTATTGATAGATCAAACTCCATAAAACCTATARGGTGTAAATGGGTATTTAAGACCAAAAGAGATGCAACTGGAAAGGTTGACAGATATAAGGCAAGATTAGTGGCTAAAGGTTATAATCAAAAGGAATGCATCAACTACAATGAGACATTTTCACCTGTCTCAACAAAAGATGCATTTAGAGTCATAATGGCCATTGTAGCACACTTTGATTTGGAACTACATCAAATGGATGTAAAAATAGCTTTCTTGAATGGAGATCTGGAAGAAGAAATCCATATGTGCCAACCAGAAGGATTTGSATTGAATAACAATAAAGTTTGTAAATTGAACAAATCCATTTATGGCTTGAAACAGGCATCGAGACAATGGTATAAGAAATTTGATGCTGTTATGAACAATTTTGGCTTTGAGGAAAACAAATTAGATGAATGCATATACTCAAAAACCAGTGGGAGTAACTTCATATTTCTTATACTATATGTAGATGATATACTATTGGCAACAAATAGCAAAAATCTTTTACAATCTACAAAAGCTTTTCTTATGAAAAGTTTTGACATGAAGGATATGGGTGAAGCAAACTATGTATTGGGAATTGAGATAATCAGAAATAGACGAATGAGAACTCTAGGATTTCTCAAAAGGGTTACATTGAAAAAGGTATTAAAGAGATTTGGCATGGAAAATTGCAAAAGAGGCGAAGCTCCAATTTCAAAGGGTGATAGGTTACATAAAGGACAGTGTCCTGGTAATTCACTTGAAAGGAATGAAATGGTCAAAATACCCTATGCAAGGCTAGTTGGAAGCTTGATGTATGCACAAGTATGCACTAGGCCTGACATAGCCTTCGCAGTAAACATGTTGTCCAGATTTCAATCCAATGCGGGTCATGCACATTGGGTTGCCGGAAAGAAGGTACTAAGGTACCTGAAAGGAACTATGGACTACATGTTGACATATGAAGGATCTGATAAGGAGCTGAAAGTAGAATGCTACACAGATGCTTCATATAAGCAAGACCACGATGATCTTAAGTCTACTTCAGGTTATGTCTTTATATTGGGAGGGGGTGCAATTTCATGGAAACAAGCAAACAATCTTTGACTGCTACTTCTACATTTCAAGCAGAATACATAGCTATCTATGATGCTACATCTCATGCCATTTGGCTCAAGAACTTCATCGTTGGATTGAAAATTGTAGATTCAATACAAAGACCCCTTACAATGCACTGTGATAATGCTGCTGCAGTATTTTTCACTAAGAACAACAAAAGAAGCAGTGGTTCTAGGAATATAGATGTGAARTACTTTGCCGTAAGGGAGAATGTCAGGGACAAGGAAATTGAAGTTTTGAAGATAGGAACAAGGGAACAACTGGCAGACCCTTTCACAAAGGCACTTCCAGTTGAAAGTTTCAAAAGCCATGTCAAAGCCATGGGAATGACAGATTCCCTTAATAATTGAAGAATGAAATAATGTAAATTATAAGTTGTATTTTCTTGTAACATGTATTCATTTAATGTATGCTGATATATGTGATTTATTTATAATGCTAGCTGATTATATAAACTGAGCTTGTACAAATTCAGATGTTCACATATATTTGCAAAAGTACTTTTATGAAGCCAGGCAATTCAGGGATTTGCGGAACCTTACTTTGAGCTGTAGATGGTTGAGAAGGGCAGAGTAGGTATAAATATGATGTTGAGATTGGATCAATGTGACCATGAAAGCCTGCACAATGTAATTGATCAATAAACTTCCATGATCCTCTGTTCCGTTTCAACATTTTCTGTGATTAAGAATCTGATGTGGTTATATAAATCGATTGCACAATTCAGTTGATTGTTATTATCAAGTTGTCATCTTGTTCAGTGGGAGATTGTAGCATATATATATATATATATATATATGCTCGTCTTGAGAACAAGATTAATTGAATAATAACAATTGATTTATATGGATATATCACGCATATATATATGTATACGACACACATATATATATACCACTTGGTTAATAAAGGTTACCCGTTTTCTTTGATGGTAAGAAACCCCTTCTCACTTCTGTTATATATACTGATTTGGGCGCCAAAAATTCATTCAACTCTCTCAAGAACATAGAAGATTCCTATCAATTGCCAAGAACCATCAATGGTAAGGAGTTAAGGGTGGATCTTGAAACAGTATGGATGATGATCAAAACAACAATCTGAACACTTCTACTTCTATCGCACAAGGTACGCTCATTTCCTGTTCATAATTGATAAGCCGCAATTCAATTTTGATGTGTTAATCTGTTCATAAATCAAGTTAAGTCTTATAGCGATCACTTGTTGATGCACCATTCCCGACAACTTTTTAAGGTATTGAACGCAACCATGGCTGAGTTCCCAGCTCTTAACGGTCAGAGCTTTTCTTATGCTGTACTCCAGTTCCCTAACGGCACGATTAACCCACTGCACACGCATCCACGGTCTTCCGAGCTCTTGTTTGTTCTCATGGGTTCTTTGGAAGTTGGGTCTATTGACACTACTAACAAGCTGTTTATTCAGACACTATAACAAGGTGACATATTTGTGTTCCCAAAGGGACTTGTTCACTTTCAATTTAACAGCAATGCCAAGGATCCAGCTTTCGCTCTTTCGGCCTTTGGCAGTGCGAGCCCAGGGACTGGTTCGGTTCCGAATTCGGTTTTCAATACGACTATCAACGATCAAGTAATGGCGTTGTCTTTCAAAACAGATGTTGCTATGCCTACCGTTCATAAGATCAAATCTGGGTTTTCAAGCTGATTAGAATCAAGTATTTGACAGTTTGTAAACGTGTTTCTAGTTTGTGGGTTTCGAATTCCAATAGTTCTTAAATCTTATCACCCTTCCATTTATAGATATACAAAATTAATAATATCTTATAATATTTGATAGGAAAAATTGCATCAAAATGGAACCAACTTTCACCTAATTCTTATTTTGGAGAATCAACTTTTAAAATCGTCATTTTGGGGAACCAACTTGCACCTGATTCCTATTTTTGGTGAACCAACTTACAAAATAATTATAGAAAAATAACTAAAATGTGATTTTTTTCAAAAATTAATGCAATAAAATCTATTTTTCATTTCAAATCTCGTTTTTTTTAATTCAGATATCAAATTGAACATTTAAAAAAAAAATCCAAATTACCACAATAAAAATTGTTTTTTACCAATGCAAAAAAATCAATTTAATAGAAAAAAATTAATTGATGCAATTGGTTAGATATAAAAATCTTGAATCTGATATTTAATATTTATTTTTTATTGCATCAATTAATTTTTTTCTATTAAATTGATTTTTTTTGCATTAGTAAAAACAATTTTTATTGTGGTAATTTAGATTTTTTTTTTAAATGTTCAATTTGATATCTGAATTAAAAAATGAGATTTAAAATAAAAAATAGATTTTATTGCATTAATTTTTGGAAAAAAATGAATTTTAGTTATTTTTTTATAATTATTTTGCAAGTTGGTTCCCCAAAATAGGAATCAGGTGCAAGTTGGTTTCCCAAAATGACGATTTTGAAAGTTGGTTCCCAAAATATAAATCAGATGCAAGTTGGTTTCCCAAGACGATTTTAAAAGTTGGTTCCCAAAAATAAGAATTAGGTGAAAATTGGTTTCATTTTAATGCAATTTTCCCTATTTGATATTTATACATAATATTTTACAAGAAAATTACTAAAACTATGTAAATAATTAACCGGCTCACGTAGTGTATTAATTGAAAGTAAAATTGTATTGAAATATTAGATGGATCCACTCTTATTCCATTGAGTAGAATTGGATTCGGTTGGCAATAAAATTCAACAAGAATGTTAGATCCCATCTGGCTAAATCCATTGGACATTAAGCATTTTACTTACTAAATAAGCACAAACCAAACAAATTTATATTAGGGGTGTTTGCGGTCCGGTTTGGGCGGTTTAACCCCTCAAACCACAAACCAAACCGTAATGGCGGTTTATAAAAATTTCAAACCGAGCGGTTTGACATCAAGTGCTCAGACCGGTCAAACCAGACCACGAAAAGGCGGTCTGGTCTGACCGGTTTTTGCGGTTTAGGCCTTTAATGGACTTTAAATATTAAACTTAAAAAACATATATAATTTAGAATTTCAGATTAAATATTCATTTTAATAAAACAAAATATCTAAACAAATAAATGTAATAATTAAGCAGCTCTTGAGTACAAAGTCGAAGCAATCCAAAGTACAAACAAATAAATATAAAACATATTAGAAAACAAACAAATTAACAAAGTTACAACTCTACTGCGAATATTGAGTAACAAAATCCACGACTTCACAACCTTCAATGGTTCAATTCTTGAGTCTTAAGTTCTTGACCAAACAAAATAGAAGTCAAATCTAAGTTGGTTGAATCACTTGGTTGATGTCTTGATGATGTTTGCCGAAATCAAACCATGGATTAGAAAAATCAATAGATTGATGGAGTTCTTGAGCGATTTCAAAATTTGGAGATCGTCAATATCAAATGTGTCGATATGTTCAATGGTTTAATGGTTTTAGTCGTCGATTTTGATTATGTTAGATGTTAGACTTAGTGATATATTTGGGTCGTAGCCAATAAGTTAAAAAAGTTGGGCTTGCTAATATTAATATATATACATATATATATACATATATATACATATAAATATATACATATATATACATATACATATATATACATATACATATATATATATATACATATATATACATATATATATATATATATATATATATATATATTTGGCGGTCGGTTTGGTCCAAACCGCCCAAAAAAGGTTCCAAACCGCAGACCGGACCGGACCGCCCGGTTTTGCTATTTTTCAAACCAGACCGGACCACCAGACCGCTCAAACCGCCAAAAACGGTCCGATTTGACTTGGTTCGGCCGGTTTGGGCGGTCCAACGGTTTTTTTGAACACCCCTAATTTATATATGTCACCGAATAAGCTATATAGGTCATTAAGCCAATTAAGCCAATAACAAACAGCCCCTAACCCACGTTTCCTTTCGATGGTATGGTAGCAATATCTGTTTTGAAGGACAACGCCAACACTTGATCATCGACAGTCGTATTGAAAACCGAATTCGGAACCGAAACAGTCCCTGGGCTCGCACTGCCAAAGGCCGAAAGAGCGAAAGCTGGATCCTTGGCATTGCTGTTAAACTGAAAGTGAACAAGTCTCTTTGGGTGCGTTTGGTACGCTGGACAGAGTGGGACAGGACAGAACAGAACAGATTTGTCCTACGTTTGGCGTGGCTGAATATGGAACTAACTAGAACTAACTTGGACAAACCTTGGACACACGTGTTCCACCTACACCCCTGGAACTAAGTGGAACTCAAATCTTTTTCCCTCTTTACCCCTTTTCTCACCCGACTGGATAAAGGACCCTCGCCTCCATCTCCATCGCTGTCCTGTCCATCGACGGCGACATCTGTTGGCGCCGAGCTCCAATCGACGTCCGACGAGCTCCAACCGACAGACGGCGAGCTCCCCATCGACGGCGACATCATCGCGACTGTTGCTTCTCTTCTCTCCATAACCCTTTTCATCGCCTCAAATCCCTAATCGCGACTGTTCCCTAATCCGTTCTCTGTAAATCGGTGGAAATCGAGGATTGAGAATAGTGTATATATATATATATATAGTTACTTCTGGTGCTTATGTAAATTAGTAGAAATCGAGGATTGAATCGTGTTCGATTGATTGGATTGTTGATCAGATGCACATAGTAAGGGCAATGGGTTCTTCGATTTCAATTGTGTTCTTCGTTTTAATCGATACATATGAAGCAAATGGGTTCTTCGATTTCGATTGGGTTCTTCGATTTCGATTGGGTTCTGCTGTCTTGCATCTTGTATTAATTTTGGTTGTATCTTTCAATTTCGATTGGGTTCTTCGATTTCGATTGGGTTCTGCTGTCTTGCATCCGATTCGCATCTCTTGATCATTAGCATATAGAATGTTTGTTATTTGCCTGTATTTTAACTTAGTATAGATGCAAAATAACGTTAAGGGTAAATCGGTCATTTTAACCAGTCCAGTCCTGTCCTGTCTTACCAAACACTGAACAGCTGTCCTGTCCTGTCCTGTCCTGTCCTGTCCTGTCCTGTCTGCGCACCAAACGCACCCTTTTGGGAACACAAATATGTCACCTTGTTATAGTGTCTGAATAAACAGCTTGTTAGTAGTGTCAATAGACCCAACTTCCAAAGAACCCATGAGAACAAACAAGAGCTCGGAATCCCGCGGATGGGTGTGCGGTGGGTTAACCGTGCCGTTAGGGAACTGGAGTACAGCATAAGAAACGCTCTGACTGTTAAAAGCTGGGAACTCAGCCATGGTTGCTTTCAATACCTTAAAAGTTGTCGGAAATGGCGTACCCACAAGCGATCGCATTCCTGTGAAAGTGAAAAAGTTTCCGTCTGCGGCAGACCTGTAAATGGTGGTGCAATGAAGTCTGAGAGAATGTCTGGATCTCCAGCCACTGATATTTGCAGAGTGGCGCATGAAACTGCAAGTAGGAAGAAAAGTTGAAGCTTTGATGCCATCTTTAAAACTAGAAAGCTATAGATGTCTTGCCCTTAAATTAATTGCAGAGCAAACGTATTTATACGGTCTAAAGAATGAAAAATTCAAGGTAACCAATTAGGATATGCTTTACGCTTGTATAATTAATTTTAACGCTAAAACAAATTAATTAAATCGGTTTTAAATGACCCAATATATATATATATATATATATATATATATATATATATATATATATA